GCCGCGCCAAGGGGGGCACTGTCACTACCGCTGGGGCCACTCAGAGGCGGGACCCGCACCCCGACGACGATGGCGCAACGGCCATTCCAGCATCATGAGGCCATCCGCGCAGCTGGCACTCTTGCTGCACTGAGACCGTCCACGCAGCTGGCCTCTCGCTGCTCTCGATTCGGCGGGTACCCGAGGCGTCAAGGAAAGTCCACGCGGGCTATCCCGAATCGAAGTCATGAGGCCTCCACGCCTCAAGCTCGCGAATGTCCTCCGAGACGCTCCGCAAGGACAGCGCCATGTCCTCGGCGTCCTCGGCGTCAATGGTGCGAGCCACCCCGTCGCGCCTAGCCACGGCCAGCGCGTGCTCCAGCCTGCGCCGCCGCTCCACGAGGAACTCAAGCACGTGCTCCTCCTCCAAGGTCCACAGTGTATCTCTCCACCTTTCGGGAAGGCTTGGCGGGCCGCGTGGTACGGGTCGGGCAAAGGCCCTAGGTCGATCACATACGGGGCGGAAGCTAGCCAGGGCCGACCCGCGAGCAGTGTGACGCACGCACGGCCCATGCCCGTCGAAGATGGCGTACGGGCAGAAGGCCACGCACAGCAGCAAGGCGACCCTGAGGACGAAGGAGAAGTAGCCCCGCACGCGAGCCTGCACGGCGTCGCTGAAGATGCTCTCGCCCTCCTTGCCCTCCAAGGTGCAGCCGTACTCCATGCCGATGCCGCCGACACCGTCGACGGGCAGGTCTTGGCCATCGTAGAGGCCGTCGTCCTCCTCCTCGGCTGCTGCCGCCCTCGCCCCCTCCGTCTTGTCGACCATCAGCTGCTCCTCGGCGTCGCACCCGCCGTCGCCCCCAGGCTCGACGTCCCGCGGCGCCTCAGGAACATGCTGCACCTCGGCGCTGTTCACGACCTGGTCGGTGCCCTCGCACTCGTCCACGTCCAGCTCCGAGTCCTCGCCAACCGCTGCGCTGAGCTGCGAGGAAGGCGGAACCTCGCCCAGCAGCTGGCCCTCGGGGGTGTCGATGACCTGGTCGGTGCCCTCGCACTCGTCCACGTCGGGCTCCCCAATGTCCAGGCTGGTGCCCCCCAGCTCGACGCCGTCGGCTTGGTCCTCCGTCGCGTCCGCCGCCACCGGGCCCGGCGGCGCCGGCACGCGGGGCCCGCAACGCCCTCCGCGCTGGGCCCGCTGCGGCTGCGCCAGGGCCTGCCGCAAGGCCTCGACGCCCTTGCCGAGGTCGACGTGCGCCCCGACGTTGCGCCTGGCGCGAGCGGCGCCGCCTGGCTGGGCGCCCCGCGGCTGCTGGCGCATGGCGGGCTCCATGGCCTGCCAGCGCATTGCAAGCTCGGCGTCCTCCTCGGAGCCGACCTCTGCCAGCAGCGCCCATGTCGTGCGGAGCGCGGCAGCGACCGCGGCGGCTATCGCCTGCCGCGAGGCGCCGCCCGCCGCAGCTCCCTGAGCAGCACCTTGGACGGCCATCGCCAAGACCAGCTCCGCGCCGCTGTTGGACCGTAGATCCATTGCCTTGCCGTCGTCGGGCACCGCCGCCATCGCAGGGGCCGCGACAAGGAGGGGAAAGGGACAGAGCCGCTCTCTGTGCCCGCCGAGGCGACGGGACTCTACAGGGAGAGACCACGCCGCGCACCTCCTGCTCAAGGCAGGCTTGAACCAAAATGGCTACGGGTGTGTGTGTGTGTGTGTGTGTTTGTGCGTTGTTTTTTGTTCCCACAGACGCGTGTTTTTTCCCAGTGTGTTTTTGTGTATGTTTTTTTTCCCACCTCCTCCCCAGGAAGGCCCCACTGGTGCCAGAGGGGCCCAAGCGGCTTCCAAACCATCAAAGTGGAGGCCAGGAGGCCTTCCTGGAAGACCATGGGAGGCGCCGAGGAGGGGCCAAGCAAGCCCAAGGAGGGCCTCCAGAAGTCCCCCAGTCGAACCAGGACAACTACAAAAAGGTCCCAAGACGAAGGGGCCCAGGACAACCCAAGAGCGCCCGAGGATTGCCCCAAATGGGCACAGCAGGCTCTCAAGACAGCCTCAAGAGACTCCCCAGACGGCCGATTGGGGCCTAAAATTGCAACAAGATGGCCCAAGGGAGCCACAAGACGATCACTGAGGGTCCCAAGATTGCCTTCAGGAGCCCAAGACAGCCCCAAGACTGCCAAGATAGCCCCCCCGAAAGCCCCTCAAAGAACAGAGACGAGGGGTTTCACAAGCTCCCTGTCTGTTGACCAGTGCTCGAAGCGTCGTTGCACTGAGTGCTGCGCTGGCACGGTGACGAGACTTGCTGCACGCATGGGCAATCGAGCAATACGTGTCAACATGCTGATGGGTACGATTGTGAAGGTGTACAACGAAGATGGTTATGAGGGTACTGATAGTAATGAAGACGAGAATGGTGCTGCTGCCCTTGACTGTACGGATGATGATGCTGTTGATGAGAACGGGCTACGAACTACACAAAAATTAGCATGGCGAAAGACACAACCATGTGCAAATGCGAATAACGCATTTGTGAACATGATCTTCGGTGGAACTCCCTATGGGGTGACGAACCGTGTGAGGGGTGTGCCGAAGTGGGTAGTTGGGGGGGGGAACGCATGCGGACGTGGCCACTGAAGCCTTCGGTGGAACTCCCTATGGGGCCGCGAACCGTGTGAAGGGTGCGCCGAAACGGGCATGCGGTGGGCGGGGAAGACGCATGCGGACGCGGCCACTGGATCCTTCGGTGGAGCTCCCTATGGGGCCGCGAACCGTGTGAGAGGTGTGCTGAAGTGGTCCTACGGTGCGCGGGGAAGACGCATGCGGACACGGCCACTGGGGCCTTCGGTGGAACTCCACATGGTGCCACGAACCGTGTAAAGGGTGTGCCGAAATGGGCATGCGGTGGGCGCGGAAGACGCATGCGTACGCGGCCACTGGGTCCTTCGGTGGAGCTCCCTATGGGGCCGCGAACCGTGTGAGGGGTGTGCGTGGAGCTCCCCAGGGGCCACGAAACGTGTGCGAGGGGTGTGCCGAAATGGGCATGCAGTGTGCGGGGAAGACGCATGCGGACGCGGCCACTGGGGCCTTCGGTGGAGCTCCCTATGGGGCCACGAACTGTGTGAGTGGTGTGCCGAAATGGGCATGCGGTGGGCGGGGAAGATGCATGCGGACGCGGCCTCTGGGTCCTTCGGTGGAGCTCCCCAGGGGCCGCGAAATTTGTGTGAGGGGTGTGCCGAAATGGGTATTCGGTGCGCGGAGAAGACGCATGCGGACGCGGCCACTGGGGCTTTCGGTGGAGCTCCCCGAGGGCCGCAAAACGCAAGACACATATGCCGAATTGGGCATTCGGTGCGCGGGGAAGACGCATGCGGACGCGGCCACTGGGACCTTCGGTGGAGCTCCCTATGTGGCCACGAAGCCGCGTGAGGGGTGTGCCGAAATGGGCATGCGGTTGGCGGGGAGGGCGCATGCGGACGCGGCCACTAGGGCCTTCGGTGAAGCTCCCTATGGGGCCACAAACCGCGTGAGTTGTGTGCCGAAGTGGGCATGCGGTGGGCGGGGAAAACGCATGCGGACGCGGCCACTGGGGCCTTCCGTGGAGCTCCCCATGAGGCCACGAACCGTGTGAAAGGTGTGCCGAAATTGGCATGCGGTGGGCGGGGAGGACGCATGCGGACGCGGCCACTGGGGCCTTCAACGGAACTCCCTGTGGGGACACGAACCGTGTGAAGAGTGTGCCGAGATTGGCATGCAGTGGGCGGGGAGGACGCATGCGGACATGGCCACGGGGGTCTTCGGTGGAGCTCCGTATGGGGCCACGAACTGTGTGAAGGGTGTGCATGCGGTGGGCAAAGAAGGCACATGCGGACACGGACACTGGGGCCTTCGGTGGAACTCCCTATGAGGCCACGACCCGCGTGGAAGGTGTGCCGAAATTGGCATGCGGTGGGCGGGGAGGACGCATGCGGACGCGGCCACTGGGGTCTTCGGTGGAACTTCCTACGGGGCCACGAAGCCGTGTGAGGGGTGTACCAGAATGGACATGCGGAGGGCAGTGGCAAGGAGGGGGAGGAGGGAGGCGGAGGAGAAGGAAAGAAGGATGGAACGCGGGGACCGTTTCGTCTAAACGAGGACTCAACATCACAGGATGGTTGGGAATAGTGAGACAACTCCCTTTGGCTTCTGGGAATGGTGACAACGATTGAGAGACAATAACGGGGCCCCTTCAACCCTTCTCTCCTCCTGCTCCTCTATATTCTCGTGTTCCGTAGACTGTTGGTCCCCTGGGAACCGCATCCAGTGTACAGTTGCCAGCGTCACGTGGCAAATGCCACGACATGGACTAGTACGATACCGCCCCACCGAATCACGCGTTGGATCCACGACGCAATCGCAACGAACACTCGGGGAACAAAAATCACGTGTCGGACCTACGGCACGACAAATGGAGCCAGAAGGTTGCGCCAAAGCTGCATCGTTGTCCGCATCACCACGTCTGGGCTCGCTCAGTCTGAGGTGCGCCGCACAATCCGTTGTAGTATACCCAGCCAAATGACGTATCGGCTGGCTCTGTCAGACTTGCGCCGTCTTTTGTGGCGTAGTCGCTCGAACGACTCACGTTTTTTTCCGTTGTCACTCGTCCGACGTCTCTGTCAACCACACACCATCACACCCTTCGCTGCTTACGACGCACGAGCACGTGGAAGTGCGAAGTGTGAGAGCTTGCAATCCCTTGAGGCACCGAGTGCCGCGCTAGAAACAGTAGCCGACGAAATGGACTTGACAACGACTATGGTTACACAATCACTTGACCTGAGCGGGCGCGCTGCGGTCCCCGTAGACGGTATGTGTTTGCTGGTGACGTTGCGAGAACGCTGAGACATTGGCTGGCTGTGACGGCTGCCCATTCACAAGAAGACAATCTAGTGGCTGAGGCATAGACAATCCCGAAGAGACGTCTGGCTGCAGAACGTGACATGATGAAAGGATCGAGTGAGGCAGCACGTTGAATGATAATGAACGGTGTCGAGGTGCAGCAGGTCACTATTGCAGCCATGCGGTGCAATATATGCGGTACAAGCTCTGGGTTGTAAACTGTGTGGTGTAAGCTATGTGGTGCAAGCTATGTGGTGCAATATACGTGGTGCAAGCTCTGCGGCCGCCCAGCGCACGCGCACGAGGCGCCCACGAGGCGCCACCAGGCGGGCACGGTGCTCCGAGTCGCCGACCGATCGGTCCAAGATGCCCAAGATCGCCTCCACGCGGCCGCAGACGCCTCGAAGACGCCTACAGACGCCTCCAAGAAGCGTCTCCACAGGGCCTCAGGACACAACAATCATTGATTTCCCTTCGGATGTTGAAAGATTTTGGCGTTCTCACCCGTTCGGCTTCCCGACGCTCCAGGATAGCCCAAGAGGCCCTCAACATCGCCCCCAGACGGCCCAAGAGGGCTTGAAGAATGTCCCAAGACGGCCCAAGGAGACCCCAAGACGGACCAACAAGCCTCCAAGCCTGCCCAATATGACCCCTGGGACTGACCCAAGAGGAAACCCAGACGGGGAACCCGAACGGACATTTCGAGCCCAGCCTCCAGAATCGATCCAAGCCAGCCCAAGAGACCTCCAAGAGGGCCTGAAAGCAGCCCAGGAGAGCCCCAAAACGGCCCAAGAGGGCCCCAAAACGGACCGAATAATTGCCCAAGAAAGGGACCACGAACCGGAAAATCCAACCTTGAGCCCCACGAACCGTGTGCGGGGTGTGCCGAAATGGGGCGGGGCCGCCATGCGAACCTTGCCACTGGGGCCCTCGGTGGAGTTTCCTCTGGGGCCACGATCCTCGTGAGGGGTGCGCCGAAATGGGGCGGGGCCGCCATGCGAACCCTGCCACTGGCGCCCTCGGTGGAGCTTCCTATGGGGCCACGATCCTCGTGAGGGGTGCGCCGAAATGGGGCGGGGCCGCCATGCGAACCCTGCCACTGGCGCCCTCGGTGAAGCTACCCACGGGGCCACGATCCTCGTGAGGGGTGCGTCGAACTGGGGCGGGGTCGCCATGCGAACCCTGCCACTGGGGCCTTCGGTGGAGATTCGTATGGGGCCACGATCCTCTTGAGGGGTGCGCCGAAATGGGGCGGGGCCGCCATGCGAACCCTGCCACTGGCGCCCTCGGTGAAGCTTCCTATGGGGCCACGATCCTCGTGAGTGGTGCGCCGAAATGGGGCGAGGCCGCCGGGGCGGGGCCGCCATGCGAACCCTGCCACTGGCGCCTTCGGTGGAGCTTCCTATGGGGCCACGATCCTCGTGAGGGGTGCGCCGAAATGGGTGATGATTATGTCGATGATGATGATGATGGAGGTGATGGTGATGGTGATGGTGATGGTGATGGTGATGATGATGATGATGATGATGATGATGATGATGATGCTGATGCTGGTGGTGATGGTGATGGTGATGGTGATGGTGATGGTGATGGTGATGGTGATGGTGATGGTGATGGTGATGGTGATGATGATGATGATGATGATGATGATGATGATGATGATGATGATGATGATGATGATGGTGGTGATGAGAAGAGGGAGGAGGGGGAGGAGGAGGAGGAGGAGGAGGAGAGGAGGAGGAGAACGCGGGGCACCGTCTCTTCAAAACGAGGACCCAACACCACAGGATGGTTGGGGGAGGGAGGGGAGGCAGCGGGAGGAGAAGGAAGGAAGGAAGGAGGACGCGGGCGCTGTCTCTTCAAAACGAAAACCCAACACCACAGGACGGTTGGGAAAAATCAGCTCCTATCACAACCATCCCACTCCTCGGGGGGCCCAAAAATGCTATAGGCATACGTGCAAACACTGCCCGAGGAGCACCACGGGAGAACCCGTAATCGCGCCACCGTGTACCCTCAAAAGAACACTGGGCCAACCAGTACCAGCGGGGAAGGACGATGCTGCCATCACGCGGTCGCATCAGATCACGTGGCTTCGGCCGCACACTGGGGGCTGCAGAGCCCCATCCTCGAGCAAGGTCCGGGGCCTCGCGCGCAGGGACCCTCGCAACGCACCGCGCGAGGTGACGCCTGCTTGTCCCTGGGGTCTCCTCGTGGCTCTCCAGCCGAGGTCCCCAGATCTGCCTGGAGGCCTCGGCCACTCAAGATCGGTCACCGGACGCCCCTAGTGGCCTCCATCTGGGGCCCCATCAAGGCCCGCATCCCAGGGCCCGAAACGAGCCTCCCGAGGTCGGCCCTCGTGGATGGCAAAACGCGTCGTCGGCCCCCTTCCCTCCCCTCGCCACCCAGCAGGCTGGGAGCCTTGACCCTCGATCCTGACGCCTCTTCGATCCTGACACCTCGATCCTCGAACCTCCGCATCCCCGAGCTCTGGAAAACATCGGCCGTCGATCCTCGGACCGCAATCCCTCGTCCGAGTCAGATGAGTAGCTCCCCCCTGTCGCACCAGCAGACATTTCCGTAGGCCGGCCTAGGCGTCAGGGCCGTTGATTTTCAAGAGGCGGCTCTCGCATTGGCGTCGCGCACATTGGTTGTAAACGAGCGCAACAGTGCTTAGAATGGAGGCAGGTTCATTCTTAAGTGCGGTTCTCGCTCCAGCGCCGCACAATCTCGACGTACACAACTCCAGCAGTGATGCTGATGGAAGGGGTTGTTGGCAAAATGGGGTTCTCGCCTTAGCGCCGAGCACAATCGCTTCAACCGCTTCCAACAACTAAAAGGATGGAGTCCAATGGAAGCCACTCCTTTCTGAATCTCTCTCTCTATATGTATATATGTATCGCTTCAACATTCATTTAATTGTGATTTACACGGGGCCAATGGTAATGCCGAGCTAACACCCAACGCCGAACCGTGTTCGAAGCTCCGTGAGCCACCACGTAAATTCTAACGACAATCGAAGAAAACAGAAGGCGGAGGACGCAAGAAAGGGCCGGCAAGATACAAATTTCGTACAATCGTTCCACCTACCCTTCGCCCATTGAATCTGACAAGCTTTCCTCTAAGTGTTCGCCCCGAACTTCCAGCTTAGCTTGTGCAAGGGTTACACGGATGGACTCTTGCTTTCGAGGTCCGCATTGTTTTGAGACCGGATTTGCAAAATTGTTCAACTCCTAAGCGGATCTAGGGCAGATCCTTTTTCAAAACAGGCCTATCGCTGGACACCTCGTCAGATTTGCTCGGCAGATCCAAGAAAATGAGCGAGCAGATCGTCGAATTTTTATGTTTAGCGTCATGGTGCTGAAATCATCCAGGAACACCCATACAAGGACGAAACCATTTCTTAGCCCCGGCAGCGCCTGCGCGCACGAGGGAGGCGGCTAGAGAAACAGCCACGGCAGGAACTTAGGAACAGCGAGCCCCTTCCGAGCCGAGTATGTCCCTTGCTCCAGTGTCGTGACTGGATGGCGTTTCTTCTGCCTCGACTCCCATGGCGCGAGAAGGTCTGAGCCGCATGCTGAGGGCCGAGATGCGCGTCAAGCGCGAGGGGGGCCTCCTCGGAGGCGGCCACCGCCGGCTTGCTGGCAGAGCTGCCGCCTTCCAGTGAGGCAGCGGGAGGGAGGGAGGGAGAAAGGAGTGGGGAGGGAGGGACGGAGAGAGGATGGGAGGAAGTGTCGTCGTCGTCGTCATCGTGGTCGTTGTCCTGGTCATGGTCGTGGTCGTGGTCGTGGTCGTCATCGTCGTGGTTCTCGTCGTCGAGCGCCGAGGTTCTTCTGGTCGTCGTCGCCGTCGCCGTCGCCGTCGCCGTCGTCGTGGCCGTCGTCGTCGTCGTCGTCGTCGTCGTCGTCGTCGTCGTCGTCGTCAACGACGTCGTCGTCATCGTCGTCGTCGTCGTCATGGCCGTCGCCGTGGTCGTGGTCGTGGTCGTGGTCGTCGTCGATTGTCGAGGTTTTATCGTCGTCATCGTCGAGGCCGTCGTCGTCGTCGGAGGAAGAGGAGGAGAAGGGATGGAGGGAGGGAGGGGAGGGGAGGAGGGGGGAGGAGGGGGGATGGAGGGGGAGGAGGGGGGAGGAGAGGGGAGGAGGGGGGAGTGGGGGGGGGGAGGTGGGGTTGGGAACTAGACGAGACTAGACTAGCTGTCGGTCCGATCGGACTGGTTCTGAGACGACGGCAGCGCGGAAGGGGGGCACAGCCCTCAAGAGTCGGCCTGGGATTTGCTGTCGGGACGGGAGACATCGAGCGTGAGACGCTGGAACGTTGGAGGTGCACAACCACTGCTGGAACTTGAAGGTCGGCAACCAGAAGCGGAAACACGAGATCCGGAGTCGGAGAGACGAGGCTGCCGGAACCGAGGGGATGCGAGTCGGAGCTGGAGAGGTGAGAGCAAGATCTGCACGCGTGAAAGCAAAAGCCGCTCTGGAGTCTGAAGCGGGCAGGATCAGGAGGAGCGGAAGGGACAGGAAGGAGATGGGGCTGACGCGCTAGGGCGATGAGATCTATTGAAGGGGCCCTGGGACACACAAATAAATACACACAAATAAAACAGATTCCCCCATATTTCCCCATACTCTCTGGGTTCATGTCTTCCCCCCCCACTTCCCATATTTTCCCATACTTTCTGGAGGATCGACGATTAATTGTGTCTGTGTGTGTGTGTGTTTTTTTTCCCCTCCTGATCTATACATATCAGCCGCCCCTGGCCAGGTTCATCCTGAGCCCACGGGGCGACGTATGCGCCCCCCGTGGCTGGGCCCGGGAGTGGTACGCACCCATCCTGGGCCCAGGATGGGTCCGGCCAGGAACGGTGCAGACCTCGTAAGCTTTTTTGCCATCATCGCCCTTTACAGTCTGGTGGTCTAGGGGCAGAAATTGTCTGTCTAGCCCAAAAACTGATCTCGGAAGGAACGTCTAGCCCTAGCCCTCCGAGGGCTAGGGCTAGACGGTGGCCTGCCTCCGTGCGAAGTGTGCTCAACACAACAGAGGAGGGTCGCAGAGCGGGGGCCTCGACGGTATGGGGGGGGGCCCGTGAGTGATTGGAGAGACCGCTCTGGGATCTCTGTGGGAAAAAGCACACACACACACACGCGCACGCGCACGCACGCACGCACGCACGCACGCACGCACCTACACACAAACACACACACAAACACACACACACATTGGCACACGCACGCACGCACGCACGCACGCACGCCCGCCCGCCCGCCCGCCCGCGCACGCACGCACGCACGCACGCACGCACGCACGCACGCACGCACGCACGCACGCCACGCACGCACGCACGCACGCACGCACGGCACGCACGCACGCACGCACGCACGCACGCACGCACGCACGCACGCACGCACGCACGCACGCACGCACGCACACACACACACACACACACACGCACGCACACGCACGCGCACGCGCACGCGCACGCGCACGCGCACGCGCACGCGCACGCGCACGCGCACGCGCACGCGCACGCGCACGCGCACACACACACACACACCACACACGCACACACACACACACACACGCACACGCACACGCACACGCACACGCACACACACACAAACACACACACACACACACGCACACGCACACGCACACGCACACGCACACGCACACGCACACGCACACGCACACGCACACACACACACACACTGTGTGGGACAAGAAAAACACACGTGTGTTTTGTTTTCCCCAAGTGTGTTTTTTTCCCCACAGTGTGTGTTTTTCCCACAGACTCATCGAGTAGTCTACAACAACCAAAAGGAGGGGGACGGTTCTGGGATTCTGGGGTTACAGCTGCAGCAGTCGTAGCATCAGTCAAGAGGAGTCAGAAAGAGTGAGAGATGGCGAAAGGAGAGCGATGGGAAGGGCAAAGGGCAGGTGGAAAAAGGGGAGGGCGGAGGGGGCAATCGAAACAAGGCTACAAGAATTCGTGCCAAGAGCATGAGCACCTTCGCCGAGCGCCCGGCCCAATGGAGCAGTCCAGTGTGGAGAGACCAAACGCACAGAACTCAAGGGTCCCAGTCAAAACCTAGGGCTTCTCTTGATTAACCCTCGTGCCAGCTGTAGGGCGAGGGGAGGGGAAGGGGAACCCCTGGCCTCTCCGATGGCACGGGAATGCTCCTGGGGGGGTGGGCACACTTCCCGCTCCCCTCCCTCCCTCCCTCCGCCACCGGGAGCCTTTAGATTGGGTCTCCCTCCTTGCCTCCACTAGACAAGCGCGCTCCACTACTCGCACGGAAACTACTCGCAGATGGCCTGCATCCGTCGTGTGTGAGAGGAAAGATCCGTTGCGCTGAGGCAGACACGTTGTTGTTCAGACGTTTGCGAGTAGGCACTTTGCGAGAAGGTGCAACGCGCTCGGTGATCAACCCTCCACTCCACCCCATTCCATCACTCCGTCGTCCCTTCATCGCCCTCGACCCTCGGCCAGGCTCCTGGAGCCCCACGCCGTCGGGGGGGCGGCGCGATCCGCGAGCGACCCACGACAGCACGACACCGCCGAAGGGAGGCAGCGTACAGATGAGCAACAGCATCGACGGAAACACATGTACTTTGCAGACCCACAGACGCAGGCACAAACACATACACACAGAGACACAGACACAAACACACACACACACTCACACACACACACACTCAAACACAAACACACACGCATGCACACAGGCACCCACAAACACACTCACACACACAAACGCAAACAGACACACAACCGCAAGCATTCACAAGCACAAACACGCACACACACATACACACGAAACAATCATACAGACACACACACAACCACACACACAGACACATAAACACACACAATCACACAAGACCACACACACACACACGCGATCACATACACACACACACACCGTGGAGGACCTCGCGCGGCTGCTTCTCGACCCTGGACAAAGTGGAGCGTACTCTCGAAACATGGCCGCACGAACGTGGATCAAGCACATGAGCCCCTTCGCCCAGGGACCAAGACCTCACAGACACACCCGACACGAATAACACCCAAGCACGAAGGATATGAAGGTGCTCCTCCGAAGCTGCCTGGGGCGGCTCCATAGACTCCTGTAGCGCCGACACGAGAAATCTGCGCGGACCCCCAACAGCTAGTGCGTCTGCAGCCTCGGGCTCCTCCAGTGGAAGCCTACCGAATGCGCCGCTGCATCGCCGATGCATCGGCGATGCATCAGCGACGCCGGCGATGCGTCGGCGACGATGGCATAGAAAAGATTAGGCTCCAAGTCGCACCGCATCGCCGATGCAACGGCGAAGCTGCGCGATCCTCCGACCCCATCCGCTCGGACCTCGTTTGGGAGGCCTGAAGCCGCGATCTCCGGGGACGGGGAGCCTCGATCGGCGACTCCGAAGGGTGCGGATTGCAAGGGGTGTGGCTTGCAACCAGCGCCCTGGGGGCCACCCTGGGGGGTGGTCGGGGACCTCGACTTAGCTCTCCGCCGCGCCCCGAGGAGGCCCAGTGAGGACAGTGTCCTCCTGGGCCCCAGCAGTGCCGATCGCAAGCCACACCCTGGCGTAACAACACGCCCTTTGTAGTCGCCGACTCGAGGCGAGGTGGGCGAGGAGGAGGAGGAGGAGGAGGAGGAGGAGGAGGAGGAGGAGGAGGAGGAGGAGGAGGAGGAGGAGGAGGAGGAGGAGGAGAGGGAGGGGAGGAGGAGGAGGAGGAGGAGGATGCGGAATGAGGGAGGAGGGGGAGGAGGGAGGAGGAGGAGGAGGAGGAGGAGGAGGAGGAGGAGGGAGGAGGAGGGAGGGGAGGAGGAAGAGGAGGAGGAAGGAGGAGGAGGAGGAGGAGGAGGAGGGGAGGGAGGAGGAGGAGAGGAGGAGGAGGAGGAGGCGGAGGAGGAGTGAGGAGGAGGAGGAGGAGGAGGAGGAGGAGAGGTGGAGGAGGAGGAGGAGGAGGAGGAAGAGGAGAGGAGAGGAATGAGGAGGAGGGGAGGAGGGGGGAGGGGAGGGAGGAGGGGAGGAGGGAGGAGGAGGAGGAGGAGGAGGAAGAGGAGAGAGGAGGGAGGAGGAGGAGGAGGGGGAGGGGGAGGAAGAGGAGGAGGAGGGGAGGAGGAGAGGGGAGGAGGAGGGAGGAGGAGAGGAGGGAGGGGGAGGAGGGAGGAGGAGGAGGAGGAGGAGGGAGGAGAGGAGGGAGGAGGAGGAGGAGGAGGAGGAGGAGGAGGAGGAGGTGGAGCAGGAGGAGGAGGAGGAGGAGGAGGAGGAGGAGGCGGGGACACCTGCCCGCACTCTGCGGGCGCGCAGCTGTCCACCGCTCACCGCCGCTCCTGGGGGGGCGGAACTCCGGAGGGCCGAGGCTCGGCGGCGCGCCGGAGGGGGGAGCTGAAGAGGCCATCTTGCCATCGCTCGGACGTCCATTCCCCGTGCATTTTTCGGTTTCGTGCGTGTTTTTGTTTCGCTCGATGGTCCAGGATGTTCCTCAAGGGTCCTCGCCGAGGGAAAAATACGCACGTTGTGGACACACAGGTAAGTTGGCACAACTCCCAGGATTCCCCACGTTGTCCCACGTTGTCCCATGCTGTCTGGGCTCTCGTATTCCCCCCCACTTCCGATGTGTGCCCAGATCTTCCTGGGAGTCGGCGATGCACCGTGTCTGCGTGTTTCTGTCCCTCCTGAGGAGCGGGAGGGGGGGCAGGCCCTCTCGGGAGGCGGCCGGGCTTCGCAGAAGGCTCAGAAAGCTTCCCAGGAGGCCCGAGGCCCTCTGAGCCTTCTGAGGAGGCCCACCCCCTCTGCTTTCTCCTGAGGTCCGACGGCGCGAAGAAGAAATGGGACATCGTAAGAATCATGTCCGGAGCCCTAACCTTGACGTGAGGCCCCGGCTTCTTTTGCCCCCCCTCTGCTAATTAAAGCTGTGCGTGGCCCGCTTAGCTTCTATCGGAAGAGGCTCGCTCTCGACCCGCGGATCAAAAAATGTCCGGAGCCCAAAACCTTATCTCTGCGCGGCATGTTTCGAGCCTGGTCGGTCTGGAAGGGTTCCAGAGCACGAAATCAGGCGAAACGCTGGGTGTGAAAGCATCGGCGCGCCTGTATCTCAGTGAAGGCCCCACCCCCTCCCCCTGGGGCCGCCGCCGAGAGGCAGCGAGAGCTCGGCGCTGACGCCGCCTGCCGCCCCAGCGGCGGCGGCGGCGTCTTGCCGTTGCATCGGCGATGCGGCGCGATGTGGAGCCCGATCTTTTCTATGCCATCGTTGCCGGCGCATCGCCGACGTCGCAGATGCACCGCCGATGCATCGGGACATGCAGCGGCGACTCGGCGCGATCCTCCGACTTGGCGGGGCGCGCGAGGGGGTAGGGGGAGGGGGGAGGCTTCTTCGAAGGCGCCGGCCAAACAGGGCCCGCGCCTTCTAAGGAGCAGGGGTGCTTCTAAGAAGCACCCCCCCCTCCCTCTACCCCCCTCTGCGCGCGATTGGCCCTGGGGGGGGGGGCCGAAGAGGAGAGGGCCAATTTCGGGGCGGACGACCTTGGGAAGTGGGATAGCAAGAGCGTGTGTCCGTGCATCCGCGGCGCGCGGCCAGATTATATGTTCTTGGCCCCGTCTGCGGCGCCAGAGGCGCCAGTGCCTCGAGGAAAGCGCCCCTGCCGCGCGGGCGACGCGTACCACACTCCCCTTCTGCGGTGTTTCTACGAAGCCTTCCCCCGTTGCCCTATAATAGACGAGCGCGTTCCATTACTCGCAGAGTCATTACTCGCAAATGGCCTGGATCCGCCGCGGGTTTCCCACGATAAATGACACCACAGCGAACACATGTTTTTCGGACCTTTGCGAGTAGGCACTTTGCGAGTAGTGGAACGCGCTCGGTGATATAAGACGAAGCCAGGGCGAGGACAAACTCGGGTGCGGTTTAAGTCGAGAACCTCTGAGCCCTGGCGGCTCTGGAGGATGCCTCGGGCGCCGCGCCCTTTTCTCGGAGCGGAACGCTCTGGAGCGGTCTCCTCCTCCTGGCCATCGCTCGGACGTCCATTCCCTGTGCTTTTGTTCGGTTTCGTGCGCGGCTTCTCCGCCAAGTGATCAAGGATGCTCCTCGATGGCCCTCGCCGAGGGAACAATGCACACGTCCGAGCGATGCCCAGCCTCGCCCTGGGCCCGTCCGACCCCACCCGGCTCTTGGCGGCGCGCACAAGGGGGCGGAGGGAGGGGGGAGGGCTTCTTGGAAGGAGGCTGCCTCTTAGAAGGCGCCGGCCTTGCATCTATAGATGGGGCCCGCGCCTTCGGAGAAGCAGGGGCGCTTCTAAGAGGCCCTCCCCCCTCCCTCCGCCCCCCTCTGCGCGTGGCAGAGGCTCTGCGCGTGGCCCACCGACCGTGTCCGGGCCCCCCCGTGTGGGAGGCCTGCCGCCCCGGCGGCGGCGGCGTCTTCGGCTGCCGCGGCGGCGTCTGCGGGCATCGCCCCGGCAAGCCCCGCGGGCCGGGCGGGCCGGATGCCGGGCGGAGGCGCGCGCCTCTCGAGGATGCAGAGGGCAGAGTGCGGGCTGGCGGACGGGGGCCACGCGGTGATACATATGTAAATAGAGAGAGAGAGAGGGAGAGAGAAAAATTAGCCTGGCGAAAGACCCAACCGTATGCAGCTGCGAGTACCGCACGGATATGAGACGAAGGAGGGGGCACGCAAACTAGGCCCCTCTTCTCATAGGCACCGCGCCACTGGGGCCTTCGGTGGAGCTCCCTATGGGGCCACGAAACGTGTGAAGGGTGTGCCGAAATGGGTGGTGGGGAAGGCATGCGGACCCTGCCACTGGGGCCTTCGGTGGAGCTCCCTATGGGGCCACGAAGCGTGTGAGGGGTGTGCCGAAATGGGTGGTGGGGAGGCATGCGAACGCAGCCACTGGGGCCTTCGGTGGAGCTCCCTATGGGGCCACGAAACGTGTGAGGGGTGTGCCGAAAGGCATGGGGCCTTCGGTGGAGCTCCTATGGGCCACCGTGTGCCGGAAATGGGTGGTGGGGCCTTCGGTGGAGCTCCCTATGGGGCCACGAAACGTGTGAGGGTGTGCCGAAATGGGTGGTGGGAGGCATGCGAACGCAGCCACTGGGGCCTTCGGTGGAGCTCCCTATGGGGCCACGAAACGTGTGAGGGGTGTGCCGAATGGGTGGTGGGGAGGCATGCGAACGCGAAGCCACTGGGGCCTTCGGTGGAGCTCCCTATGGGGCCACGAAACGTGTGAGGGGTGTGCCGAAATGGGTGGTGGGGAGGCATGCGAACGCAGCCACTGGGGCCTTCGGTGGAGCTCCCTATGGGGCCACGAAACGTGTGACGGGTGTGCCGAAACGGGTGGTGGGGAGGCATGCGAACGCAGCCACTGGGGCCTTCGGTGGAGCTCCCTATGGGGCCACGAAGCGTGTGAGGGGTGTGCCGAAATGAGTGGTGGGGAGGCATGCGAACGCAGCCACTGGGGCCTTCGGTGGAGCTCCCTATGGGGCCACGAAACGTGTCGGTGCGTGAATGGGTGGTGGGGATCGTGTGGTTGGACCCTGCCACTGGGGCCTTCGGTGGAGCTCCCTATGGGGCCACGAAACGTGTGAGGGGTGTGCCGAAATGGGTGGTGGGGAGGCATGCGAACGCAGCCACTGGGGCCTTCGGTGGAGCTCCCTATGGGGCCACGAAACGTGTGAGGGGTGTGCCGAAATGGGTGGTGGGGAGGCATGCGAACCCTGGAGGGAGGAGGGCGAGGAGAAGGAGGAGGAGGAGGAGGAGGAGGAGGAGGAGGAGGAGGAGAAGGAACGCGGGGACCGTTTCTTCAAAACGAGGACCCAACACCACAGGATGGTTGGGAAAAAGAGAGAAAGATAAATAAGTAGATAGATCGATAGATCGGTAGACACTATATATATGTAGACACATATATATATATATACATGCATGCATACATACATACATACATACATATCCATTCCCTTGTCTATGCTTTTATAATCCAATGTGGTGCGACCCCCCCCCTCCGAAACGGGACCCCCCGGATCCGTGGCACGGGGGGAGGCCGGAAATCCTTGCAAAGGTGTGCATGCAGGCGGGTGGCAGTCCCAAATCAATCGGCGAAAGGCCCAAGAGCCACCCCAAATGGTCCAGGATGGCATCCAACTAGCCTTGACCCCCGCTGGATGCCCGAAGATCACCCCAATGTCACCCTAAAAATGCGTTCGAACCGCAAAAGCATAGATGTGTCGTTGGTTTTTATATGATTTTCGGATTCTTGCTGATTCGGCCTTCCACGCGTCCGAGAATGTTGGAAACGCACTGACGGCCGCTCCTAGACGGCGCCCAAATGAGCCCCATGAGCTCCCGAAGCGGTCCCAAAACTGCCCACAAGAGCCCCCATGACCGCCCAAAACTGACCCCACGACGGCTGGCGCAAGACCTTCGAGACCCACAAGCGGTCCAAGATGGCATCATGCGGTCCAGGCCCTGGCTGGATGCTCGGAGGCGCTTCGAATGTCACGTCCAAGAGGCGCTCGAAACCTTGAACATATTTCTGTGGTTTTTGCATGCTTTTCGACTATGTCCTCGTTCGGCTTGCCAGGGGTCCGAGAACGCAGGCGAAGCACCGAAAACCTTTCCCGACTCCAGAAAAGCCGGTACGGGAGCCCAAGACGGCTCCTAAACTACCCACAAGCGGCCCCATGACCGCCCCAAACTGACCCCAAAATGGCCGGCGGAAGGCCCAAGACACGCCCAAACCGGTCCAAAATGGCGTCCATTTGGCCTTGGCCCTCGTCGGAGGCCCTGAGGCGACCCGAAAGGTATCTCCAAGACCCGCTCGAACCCCAAACTCACTGATGTTTCAATGATATAGTAAGACTTGCTACCGTTCGTTCCTTCGGCCTGCCGGGCGTCCGAAACGATGGTCAAATCTCCGAACACCGCTCCAACTTTACCCAAACGCGCTTCCTGAATCCCTAAAGCGGCCCCACGAGGGCCCGGGGCGGCCCCCGAACTGCCCATGGGCGGCGCCCTGACGGCCAGGGAAGGCCCCAACACGAGCCAAATCAGCATCCTCACTCTTTGATGGGAGGCGCCATGAGGGCCCTAGACACTGCCCATAGGCGGCTCCATGACAGCCCGGGGACACTGTCTGGACGCTCCTCTACAGGGCCACCCAGGAATTCAAGCTCTCTAGGGCGCCTTCTCAACGCTCAACCAAGCGTGCAAACGGGCGAACGGCAGTCCCAAGACGTCCCGAGGACAGTCCGAGGTGGCTCCGATGTGGGCCCTCACACCGCTTCGGCAGGCCCCCATGTAGATCCCTGAGTTCTCGCCCGCTCAGATGGCATTTCATTACGGAACGCCGCAGCTTCCCCCCCATTACCACAGGCTCTCATTTACGCCATTCCGTGCGCCCGTGGTCTCCGACTCACAGTCTTTGCCCCTCCCCATGCCCCCGTCTGCATGTGGCCGACCTTCTCGTTGTGAATGGGAGCGAAGGATTAGAGAGCCAAACTTACTAATAATCCCTGGGTTGTGGACAATATGTATGTATGTATGTATGTATGTATGTATGTATGTATGTATGTATGTATGTATGTATGTATGTATGTATGTATGTATGTATGTATGTATGTATATGTGTGTGTATGCATGCATGTATTTATGTATGTATGTATGTATGTATGATTGTATGTATGTATGTATGTATGTATGTATGCATGTATGTATGTATGGTTGTGGGTGTGTATGTATGCATGTATGTATGTATGTATGTATGTACGTATGTACGTATGTATGTATGTATGTATGTATGTATGAATATGTGTATGTGTGTATGTATGCATGTATGTTTGTATGCATGCATGTATGTATGTATGTATGCATGTATTGAGGTATGCATGTATGCATGCATACATGTATGGATGTGTTCATGTATGTATACATGTATATGTGTATGCATACATGTATGCATGTATGCATGTATGCATGTATGCATGTATGCATGCATGCATGCGTGTATGTATGTATGTATGTATGTATGTATGTATGTATGTATACGTGTATGTATGCATGTATGTATGTGTGTGTATGTATGTATGTAGGTATGTATGTATGTATGAATGAATGTATGTATGGATGCATGTGTGTATGTATGCATGCATGTATGCATGTATGTATGTATGTATGTATGTATGTCTGTATGTATATGTATGCATACAATGTATATTATGCTGTCGCGCCTCTTGCTATCGACGCGCCAAGTTGGACGGCGCTGAAACCGCGGCAAGCCCGCGGCAAGCCCTGCGTACCGCGCCCAAGTAGACGAAGCCGGCACCGCGGCAAACCCCATGGCAAGCCCTGCGTCCGAAGCGGCGTCTGCCCTCGTGGCCGAGACGCCCTCCCCCCAAGACGCAAGGTTGCGCGTCGGAATAAACGGCGCGGCAACATATGTTTTCTCCTTCCGCGATGAGGGTGTACTAACACTGTCATGCCAACACCTTGCGGGCCGAAAGGACAGCCTGGAGGCTACTCGCAAAGTCACTACTCGCAAATGGCCTGGATCCGCCGCGGGTTTTCTACAATCAATTACACCACAGCGGCGTCTCTGAGTGGCCTGTTTTCCACCACCACCACCATAACTAAGTTGGAGGGGGGGAGGAGGTGGAGGAAGAGGAGAAGGACGAGAAGGAGAAGGATGAGGAGGAGGAGGAGGAGGAGGAGGAAGAGGACCCCCTCCCCGGTCCCGCCCCCTCCCTTTCGTCCGACACGATCGGTTGCCGGCGCGTCTCCTGGGCTCCTCGGCCTGCTCCGCCCGCCAAGCTCGAACGCTCGCGCGCGGGAGGCGACCTGCAGCGAGGGCGCCCGGTGCCCTCTGTGGGGGCAGGTGGCGCCGCTGTCTCGAACGCGTGGCAGTGAAGAGCGAGCGATTGGGCTTGGGAGGGCGACGAGGGGAACCAACTTCGAAGACACACGGACAACAGCACACACGCATACACGGAGTCGGACGCACACTACCAACGACGGGCGGGACGCTCGGGTCACTACGGTCAGCTAGTCGAGAGCTTCTCAACCTGTCCGCGGCAGTTAAGCGTTGCCGCGGGACGCCTGGCCGCTCTTTTCTCGGCCCCTGCTCAGGCTCCTGACTACAGCTCGAGGAAGAGGAGGCCAGCACCGTCCGTCACCACATTCTGGGAGGAGGAGGAGGAGGAGAAGGAGGAGGAGGGGGAGGAAGAAGGAGGAAGGAGGGGAAGGAGGAGGAGGAGGAGAAGGAGGGGGAGGAGGAGGAGGAGGAGGAGGAGGAGGAGGAGGAGGAGGAGGAGGAGGAGGAGGAGGAGGAGGAGCCGATCTCCCGCGGCAGGCGAGCGCTTATGCCGTGGCCGAGGCGGGCTTGCTGCCCAGGCCCCTCCGCCCTCGCCAAGGTCACCTGGTCTCTGGAGGCGCGGAGTGTCCGCGCGCCCGTCACACGACCGCACGCGGTTTGACGCGGGGCTGGGGGGGGGGGCTGGGCGGAAACACGCGCCCTTGCGTTGTGATGTGTGCGGCGGGCTGTGCTCGCAGTAGGTTCGGGCTGAGGGGGAACAGCTTCTCAAGCCTTAGGTGGCCACATGCGAACCCTACCCCTACCCCCCACGATTTCTGAGGGGGAGGGTGGGGGTAGGGTTCGCATGTGGCCACCTAAGCCTGGCTCCCCCCCCCCGACGTGGACGGGGAGGTGCTGGCTCAGCGGGCTGGCCCAGGGGGCTCCCTGCATGGCAAGCACGAAGCGCTGCCCCCTCCCCCCCCACGGAGCCCGCTGGCCACGCCTGAGCCCGCAAACCTGGCTGCTCTGCGCCACGCTCTGCGAAGTACCCACCCTCCGTCCCCCTTCCTCTCCCCCTTCCTGCTCCTTCTTGTCCTTCCCATCCTCGTCCTTCGCCCTCTCCCTCCATGTGGCGGCGCACTTCCCGGACGGGCCTCCTCGATCCTCCTCGATCCTCCTCGATCCTCCTCGATCCTCCTCCTCCTCCTCCTCCTCCTCCTCCTCCTCTTTCTCCTCCTTCTCCTCCTCCTTCTCCTCCGCCCTTCCCTCTCCTCCTCCTCTCTATACCCAATTCTGGAGACGGGGCTCCTTCTTTAGAGGCCAAGCGAGCTGCGTCCACTGAGGAGCGCGCGGATGCGGATGCGAAGAAGAGGGGCCGCACACCGTGACGGCTCCAGCCCGATTCTGGAGATAATGTCGTGGGCTCCCGCAGATTCCCTTCGGGAACTATGCATGGTACTCCTGCAGGCACCCAACGCTTCTTGCTCCCCCTCGTCGTTCCCCCGTCTCCTTCTTCCGTCCTTTGTCTCGACCGCCTCTTCTGTTTCGTCCTCCTCCTCCTTGTTGTTCTCCTCTTTCACCCTTTCCTCCACGTCCTCCTCCCTCTCCTCCTCCTCCCAACTTCTCCTCCTCGTCCTCCGCTCCTCTTCGTACGCAAAGGGGGTAAGCGCGCGCGTGGGCAGCAATCAAAGCCTGCGGAAACGCTTGCTGCTGAACATGCTGCACCTGGGGCTGCACCTGTGGCTGCAAATGGTCAGCGAGGCGTATGGGAAACGGGAGCTGGGCAGGATGAACATGCGCAGCATGCCGAGGAGGACAACTGGAAGGAAGCCTACTTCGATCTTCCCCGGTGAACTCCGCATGCTACGCCCAACATACTGGAACGTGCAACATGACAACAGCAACGATCTGTCTGCAACACTGCGCCATCGGACCTCACACCAGGTCGCAACCCCAACAAACCGAGGAACGATCGAACGTCCACACACGTAACACGGTATTCGAATATTCGCATATGTTCAATTCCCCTTCTCCTGCGTGTGGCCATTCCCAATCTGGACGTAACCGCTACAAGCTCGTCACATGTGTGCGTAGTGCCAGTCAGGACAATCTATAGCATCCAATTCATCATCACCAGTACCATCATCAGCATCATCATCATCACACTCATCATCAGCACCACCAGCATCGGCATCACCATCAACTAACCCAACACCATCATCATCACCATCAACATCATCAACACCATCACCAGCATCGTCATCGTCTTTGGCGTGGTCACCCATGTCGCCGTCAGCATCACCACTCGCACGCCTGGGTCAGCAATATGCATGAGCAGGGTCCTCGCGTCATTGCACAGCTTGAGATTATCGAGCGAACGTTGTTCGGTAGCCGCACTCACCGTTGGTGAAAGCTTTGGTCGCAAATTGCGGATGGGAGTATGGGATGCCTGAGCGAGTAGTGGCGTCGAGGACCTCAAGCTCTTCACAAAGAGCACCATACCCAAATTGCACCATTGACTCACGGTGCTGGGTCCACGCTGGCAGGCGTGTCGTTTACATCAGCGGCTACATGCCCTCACCATGATTATACGGGACAGCAGAGCTCGTCTAACGAGGATGTGGTGAGGGAGGATAGAATGGATGCTGAAAATGACGGGGGGCAGGAAAAGGACACGGTTGACGAGGAGGAAAGGCCATCCCGGTGAAGGAAGAGCAGGGTGGGCAAGATGGCGGGTATCTGAGGCTGCGCAGGAGGAGAGGGAGCGGGAGACGGGGAGGAGGGGGAAGGGACAGGAAGAGGGACCATAATGAGGAGGAAGGGGAGTGTGGGGGAAGGACGTATACATCACGCCTGGCGGCGCAGGGGCTGGCCTGCTGGTAAGCTTGGCCCTGGTAAGCCTGCATGTTCTGAGCCTGGCAGTTAGCGCCACGCTGCCCGCGGGCTCGCAGCCGTCGCACGGATCGCCGCCAGGTTAGATCGTACAACAACGAGATTCGAACGCCAGCTGAACTGGGATCCTTCGTCGTTGCAGTCTCCAGCGGCATCAGACGACATTAACCCTCTTTCTCCTCCCCCTCCTCCTCCTCCTCCTCCTCCTCCTCCTCCTCCTCCTCCTCCTCCTCCTCCTCCCCCTCCTCCTCCGCATCTCGCCTTCCCGAGATGTGCGAAGGCCCCGCTGGGTGGACACTCTCTCCTCGCCCACGGGGGCCCACGTCCGTCCTGCCGTGCCTCCGCCTGCTCTCCTGCTCCTGCTCCTGACCCCTCTCCTTCACACCGTCTCCCCCTCCCCCTCCTCCCCGCGCGTTCTCCTCTTCCACTCTCAAATCATGATGCCCCACTCCCACTCCCCTCGTACCTGACTCCCTCTCTTCCCTCCATCCTTCCCCCTCTCCTCTCAAGCGAACTGCCTGCGCCTGCTGCTGCATATTGGCCAGCATCGAGAGCCCGGCCTCCCCAACCCAGGCCTCCGCGCTCGCGTGATCACGATAGGGCAGCTGCTGAGGGGGAGGGAGACTGATTGCTGTAGTTGTTTGTTTGTCTGTCTTCGCCTGCACCCATCCCTCCGTCGGTTCAGCTGGACGCGGCTCGACAAATTGTCCAGAATGGATCCTGGCAGGGGTCCCAGGACATGCTTTGAAGCATCCAGACCTTAGTCAGACAGAAAGGAACAGGGGAAAGGAAAACAAGGCGAAAGGAGAGAAACGGAGAAGAGGGCTTTGGGGGGAGGGGGGGCGGCACTTGGGAGAGAACAGGAAAGGAATGCGGGAGCAAGAGGGGAGGATGTACAGACGGTGGCGCGAGAGAGAGAGAGAGAGAGAGAACGCGAGTGGCGTTGTCCGCCGACCCGCGCTTCCTGAGGGCAACAAGGCGTGAGACATGTTGGGCTGCCCTCGGGATTCCTACGGGAGCCTGCATTCTGCACCGCGCGTGGCAAGCTGCACGGATGCCCCTTCTCGCGTGCCACGTCGCCGCTGACACAACCGTGGCTGTCCCGCTCCCCCCCCACCCCCCTTGCGCCTCTAGGCGGTCGTCATCCTCCTCGCCTCGCTCCTCGGGTCACGCCTCAGGACGGGTCCGGAGGAGCAAGAATGGCCACGGGAGGCTGGCAGTGGAGCCCTGAGAGGCCTTCAAGAAACGCACTAAAAACGCGTGCTAGCTGGAATCCAAGAAACGTGTACTAGCTGGCCTGAAAGGATCGCACTAGCCCTGGACGGCACATGATGCTTCTGGAGCCCCGAGCACACGTACTCGCTGGCTCGAGAAGTCGACGAAAAAGAGAAGCAGACTGAGAAATTACATTAACGGAAACAACGAATCAGAAACTTCAAGGGGCTTCACGAGAAACCTCAAGCAATCAAACGCACCGTAAAACCTGAAAGTGCTCAGCAATGCCCAAGCTTGTCTGCACGATGGCGCCTCAATCGTACATGCAAAGGCTCCCATCTGAGCTCAACATACAACCAAACACATCCATTATGACACGACGTCGGTCCGAGAGGGCTTCTGAAGGGCCGCGGCGGCGGAAAGCAAAACCAAGATGGCCGCAGACGGCGCCCTGAACGCGCCCAGGGTGTAGCCCAACCGGCCCCCAGAGTGCGAGGCGGGGATCTGCCCACATCCACAGCCTGGGGAACCAACGTCGTGGACCCCCAGCGGGCGTTGGATATGGATCCCCTACCGTGCCTGCGCGATGTGGGCACGTTAGAACGCAAGCTGCTGCTCTGCAGACTTCTCGTACTCTAGTAGCGCCACCCCCCTCCCCCGGAGGGGAAATGTGGCTGCAGTTAGCAATGGGCCTTCTTGAAATATCGCACGTTCCTAATTCGAAAGTTTCTACTGCTGATTTATAGGTTCGCGTGTCTCCATGGCACACTCAACGATCTCCAACTCAAATATGATCGAAGTCCTCCCAACCTGGTGCGTGTGTGTGTGTGTGTTTGATTTGAATGCGTGCGTGCATTCCGATTCAACGCCAGCCAAACTATGATAAAAATTTTGCCTCCCTCATAATTCTAAATGGATGATGACCGGTATCTTTTCGAATTCCATGACGATCTTCTGAATCTCGGATCTGGCCCATCCCTATCGAACTCCTATTTGTCCCAAATGCGAATCCAATTGGCGCCCCCTGACATTGGTTGCTCCCCTATGCAGATTGAACTCGCGTTGGGGTCCCCGATACAATTTCAATCGAAATCATCTGATTCAGGTGTCGGTTCCATTCCTTTTGCTTGTCTTTGATTGAATGATTCATTCGAATCCTGCCGAAATCCCTTGAGTCCGGGGTCGTGTCCCCTGAGTCCCTACGACAGGCGCATCCGAATACAACCAGGGTCATGTGATTCACGGGCTTGCTCCAACCCGATTGAATTATAAGTGTGCGTGTTCCCCCAAATCCAGTGGGCACTCTCGGAATCTGAGGCATGCGCTTTTCCAGGTGGCCTTATCATCAGCATCGCCTTCTCCTCCCCCTCTCTCCTCGTTCCTCCCTCCCTCCCTCCCTCCCTCCCTCCCTCCCTCTCTCCCTCCCTCCCTCCCTCTCTCCTCGTTCCTCCCTCCCTCCCTCTCGCCCTCCCTCCCTCCCCCTCGCCCCGCCCCCATCCCCCCCCAGACGCTGGCGAGCTGCGGCGCGACGCCGTTCTGGGCCGTGGCGGGCGCGAAGCCGACCTGGACCTCGCGGGCGCTGAGCCGTGGCAAACCGACGGTGGGCCGAGGCGGGGGCGGGCGGGGGGGGGAGAAGTAGAAGGGAGGAGGAGGAGGAGGAGGAGGAAGAAGAGAAGGAGGAGGAGGAGGAGGAGGAGGAGGAGGAGGACAAGGAGGAGGAGGAGGAGGAGGAGGAGGAGGAGCGAACGAGCGCCCCTGGGGGCAAGAGTCCTCCTCGCGACCACCACGCGCTCGGCCGAGCGCCATCTGGGACACTCAGGGGCACGGCGTCGCGGTCGGCGGCGAAGGTGGCGACGCCGTCGGCGCCGGAGAAGGTGCAAAGGTCCGCGGACGCGTCGCCGAACGCCGCCTGCGACACGGGGTCGAAGGGCGCGTGGTCGGAGAAGGCGCCCTCCAAGCCCGCGAGGGCGAAGGCAGGGCCATCTGCATCATCGATATGAGCCCCAGCAGGGGCCATGTCGACGTCGACCGCCAGGTGCGCGAAGTTGGTGTCGACGTCGTCGGAGTCCTCGGCGGCAGTGCGCGCGCCCGAAAAGGGTGCCAACCAACGGCCGTGGCACAGACCCGTCGTCCTCCGAGTCGCAGGCCATGGCCTGTTCGCCAACACGAAGTTCGAGAAATTCAGGTCACGCCGGGAACGGGTAAACACTCCAGCTCCTCATCATGTGGGCTTCCTTCGTTTCACCCGGAAGGTAGCTAGGGTTGTTCAGCATCCAGCAGACCAGCTCTTTCTTGCTCACGGAAATCTCGGGGTACAAGTTGGTCAGGGCACGAAGAGCGTTAGCTAGCGGAAGACTAGAGATCGCCTCGGGATGGGTAGGCTCGACAGGCAGCGCAGTTGGTGGCGAGCACGCAGACAAGGAAGCCACCGACGTCGCAGCCGCCGAAGAAGGGCGTGGGGTGAAGCCAAGCACGAGGGCCTCCAGCTCGAGCTGCAAAACCAGCGTAGAGCGCAGTGGATGCAGAAACCCACTCGCGTTGAAGCCACAGGCCGCATACGCACCTCCAGACTCAGCGCCAGCAGCCAGAGGACCCGACTCACCGCGATCATCTTCGGGAGGCTGATGGACAGGGGGCACTCGCGCACCGTGGACAGCATGGGGCTGAAGAACAGGAGGTGCGCCAGCACCATGTACAGCTGGAGGCTGAAATCCAGGGGGCCCTTGGTCTTCAGCAGGAGGGGGATCGCCATCGGGGCGAGCTGCCGACGGAGACGCTGACGAAGAAGGATCAGCCGCGAGCGGCGCGTGGAGCGGCGGCATGGTCATGTCAGGCGGCGCAGCGGCGCCCCCAACCTCCATGGACTCGACCTCCGGCTCGCTGCCCCCACTTCCGGCGATGTGGTCATGCGGCCCAGGGTGCCTGGGGCGGGTCGGAGACATGGCGGCAGGCGCGGCAGCAAGGGCCAAAGCATGCGCCGACGAGAGAGAAGATCCAATCCAATCAAGAACGGCCGCATCAGCTCCTGGAGGTGGAGGGCTCGATGGGCCCGCATCCTACCCGGGCGGCGCGGCACTTGAGGAGGCTGGAGGGCGCCCCTGCTGCGCTACAGACGGCTTTGGGCGGGGGCCAACGATGCATTCGAACTCGCCATCAGATATCGCGTCGCCCCCGAAGAGGTCTGGTGGATGGGGTGGCCGCGAGGGCCCCACCTGGATCTCATCCATCTCTTCCAAATCAGCACCTGTGGGGGACAGGTGGGAGTTCGCTTCAGGGCCCTGCTGCGTGTGCGGCTCGGGCTCGCTGGGAAAACATATTCCTCTGAGGCGCTCGGGATATATTTGAACATTGGACCCGTTGGGTCGAGGTCGGGGTCGTCAAGTGAGAAACCAAGGGCAGCGACAAGGCCTGCTATGTGCTCGCACGGTGTTGGAGTCGTGCCTAGTTCACGGCCATGCCGCTCAGTGCTGCCACGTTCAACCCAAGATAGACAGAGGGCGCGAATGTCCATGGGCATGCGGGACGGGCCAGGGTGCGGGGTGAGCATGTCGTAGAGCTGCTTGGAGAGCTTCACCAGCAAGCGCAATACCGAGGGGTCGGGGAGCGCGCGCGAGAGCTTCCGACGGAACCGCCCGCGAGAGATAGCGCTTCCATGTACCTGCCATGCATATTTCTTCCGCTTCGCGGCAATGCAGGCGCTCTTGGCAGTCACCCCTGCGAGACATAATGTGGGCGAAGTGGTCGCGAGGGGGGAGTGGAACAGCGGCGCAAAGACGCAGTCGACGCGCCAGTCCATCCAGGTCGCGAAGCTGCCAGCTCCACTCTGCGAAAGTACTGATGCAACCCAGCTGTCTGCCCAGATCACGGCACGGTTGATCGGCCCGCGACGAAGGGCGCGAGAGCGCTGGGCAGGGGAACGTCTAAGAACAGGGCGCGCGCCACGAGAGCCCATGTCGATGACAGACTAGCCACTCTTGCAGAGCAGGTCGCCCGGGGCCTCAACCGCATTCTCGCGTGGCAGCTCGCCAGAAACGTCCGCCGCAAACGATGATGATGGTAGGCCGCGCAGGTAACCGCAGTCCTCAGTCGCTTGGTTTCGGAGCAGTGCACTAGGGGCCACAGCCGCGCTCAGGTGCGACATATTACGGAGGAGGCCACCGCTGGCCACCGCAGCACGCTGGCCCGCCATTGTAGAGAAAGGCCGTGCTTGAGCCTCGAGAACAACCGTCGAGCCAGAGGCGCCGTCGTCGTCCATGCGGAGGAGCGGGGTGGCCTCCAGAGCGATGGCAGCCTTGACAACGCAGGTCTCAGGGAGCGACGGTGTCGAGCCAGGCGAGCTGGGCGAAGAAGAGGATGACGAGCTGGTCGGAGTGCTGGACGACTGTGCTGAAGCTGCAAGATGCAGGAGCCTGGCGACGTGAGCTCCGAGCTCTGCGGTCGGGAGAAAGCGGAGCCCGCGAAGGTGATGGGGCCCGGGGATCCCAGGGGATGCGTGGCCAGGGCGCAGATCAGCGTCGAGCCTGGCCCCGCCTGGCGCGCGCCACGACCCGCAAGAAACGAAGCAAATCTAGATCCCCCAAGCGCAACCGCCGCTTGATCCCCATCATGCAGCTCCCCGAACAAGGAAAGTATGGCTTCGGGCAAACCCATCGACCGAAGCACAAGCAACACCCTCTGGACCTGCATTCAATGGAGAAGCAACTTCACCACCGGTTAATACAACCCCCGATGCGAGACGGTCCGGAGGGTGTTCCATGAGCAAATAATGTTCAGCTCCGATCGCATTGACCATCATAAAACGGCCTTTGAAGCACTTCTGGGCAATGCCAATCACACCTCGACTCAGCCGCGTCGGCAAGGACCCGAGCCATTGCAGCTGAGAAGACTTTGGTAGCAATGTTAGCCATGCCGAGGGGGCGGGCGGTGGAGGGAAACCAGAAAACTCGCTCGTCAACTTCGAACCCTTGGATCTTTTTCGGGAGAACAAACCAGGGGGTTCGATTTCGCGCCGGCGGTGATCTCGCCATTGGGTGAGCGAAGCAGCTCGCAAGAACAGGTATACATAATATCCATGGCACTGTCAGTGCGCCATGACAATCCATGCATCCACCACCCAGCCCTCCCCCAAGAGTAGAGACAGCGCATGGGCACCAGGCGCCCGCCCAAGTGGCGGCATGAACGTGCCAATCTCGGTCCGCGGCGACAGTCCTCAGGCGGCGCGGCGAATACATGGCCCCGGTATAACGGAAAAGCGCGTGCGGCCTTCTCCTCAGAAGCGCCGGGTTCGCCATGATCATTGAGGGCCACTTGGAGCAACGACCGACTATTCATCTTTGCCCAGAGCTCGCGGCGGCGGGGAATCTTGGCGCTGGGATTATCCAGCGCTTCTTGACAGATATGTCGTTGGTCGCGTTCGAGCGCGCGATCGGCTTGTCCAATGATATAGAGCGTAGATTCTGCGCGTGTTGGCAAGGGGAATCGACGCGCGCGCCGCGAGGAGAAGACCAGCAGGGAAATGGGCAGCAAGCGCAGGGCAAGCGCGACTAGCAGTGTCAACCACGAAGACGTCGCCTGAGCGCCATCCTCTCAAGGCCTGCAGCGCCCGTGAGTGCATGCCCCCCGTCGTCTCTGCAGTGCGAGTCGCTGAGATAGACTTGACTTGCGCGGATACTTCGTAAGTCAAATCTTGGAAATGCCCGCGACGCCCCCGCGGACCCCAGACAGGAATTCATTCCGCGGTATCGTTGAGCAGATCCCCGAACATTGGGCGTTTCGCCCTCCACCCAGGAAGGTGGCGAGGGGCATCCCGAGGATCGAACTGCGAGGTGGCAACGGCGACAGGCAAGTGATCAAACGCCATGTTAGATTGCAATCTGCCCGACGCTTCCCCGCGGACCGTGAGGTCGGCAAACGGCGGCGCAGGTAGAGAACTGTAGACTCTGTCGAGCCTGGGCGCGCGAGCCATCGCCCCGTCCCGAACCTCTCACCTCGAGTCCCCGGACTGGCGCGGCTCCGCCCACCTCCCGCGCTTCGAGAAGGCAGGGGCGGAGTGGGCCTCGCCCCCGTGGCCCCGTCCACTCCCGTCGGCGCGGGGGCGACCCTCGGCCGACCAAACGACATTCCAACCGCCGAGAAAGGTAGCGCGGCAGACGCCGGCTGGCAAGACACTCGCACGCGCGCGGCGGTAGACAGTAAGAAGCTCATTGGTGTTCGGCACGTGTATATTTGTCACACCCAGGTGGCCACGTGGCCCAGATAGGACAAATATAAGCATGCGGCCTTCGATGACAGTGCGATGCGAGACAGATCTGAAGTGGCTGAAAAGACGAGGAGTGAGGCAGGTAACGACCCCGCCAGCATTAGCATTGGATGAGAAGTGGGCGCGCCCAATGTTAGACCCGCGCAGTCTCCGAGACAAGGCATTGATACACACGATCTGTTCATGGCACTCTTGTCCGCGCATAACATCAAAGAGACGGGTGTACTTGAAACATGCCGAATAAGGGCCTTGTCGCTCACCGAGCGAACTGCACCAAAGAGCGCATGCGAATTCTAAGTGCACAACTTGATCGGACAGCGGGGGAGATTATGTAATGGATCTGACCGAACAGGGTAAAGCCTGATTGACAATATTACAAGAAGGGGGCACAGAAGGCAGAGGATAGTAGAGACTGCCATGCGATGCAGGCACAGGCAACTGGCGGCTCGCAGCCATGAGGTCTTCACTGGGAGACCTGAGGGTGGCTGCGCCCGTAGCCTCAGGCTCGCCAGAGCTCTTGAAGGGCGTGCCGATCGATGCGATTCTGCAGGCGTTGGAAGTTCTGGTCATGGGCGGTGAGAGCGCCGCGACGTCATGAAGATGGGAGTCGCCGTGCCCCCGATTGGTGTCCGTTGCGCGGCCGCACTACCTTGACTCGAGCGTGAGAGTTCTGCTGCCTCGTCCCAATCTTCACGATTGGTACTCGCATCCCGCTGACGAACTTTGCGCGCTGAGTGGCCATGTCTGCGGGTCATGGCCAGGAGCACGTGCGAGACAGGGGTAATCCTGGACGTGGCGAAGAAGCTGGGAACGATGCCGAACAAAAACGGGTGCTTTGGCGCACGGCTGGAGAAGGTTTGGCCTAACCTCAGAAGGACACTGCTCGGGCCAACCACCTGGCACCTTCCAAGCTCGAAGCGCCAAGGCAACGTTTCGAACTTAAGCCAAAATGGCTTCGGATCTTCAATATCGTCATTATTTTCGGATGGGTTCGTATCGGTTGACACTTGCTTTTGGTAGGCTTGATGCAACCCTGTGTAGCGCACTTTTTCAGCGCCACCCCGTCGTCGCATCACCAAAATCTCCCATCTGCTGCTACTCCTCATAATGATTACCCTGCCCCACCTGCTGGTGTTCCTCGTCGCCCTGACCACGCGCCGCATTCTGAGCCTGCTCCTCCAAGTCCTCCTCCTCCTGGCCCCCCCTTCCTCCTACTCCTCCTGCTCCACCTCCTCCTGCTCCTCCTCCTCGTGCTCCTCCTCCTGCTCCTCCTTCCCGGACATTCCTGTTTCATCCTGACCATCCCTTCTCCTTTCCGTCCTCCTTCTCCTCCTTCTCCTCCTCCTCCGCTTCCTCCTCCTCCTCCTCCTCCTCCTGAGAATAAACTGGTCCGGCCGATCTGCGGGTACAAGCGAACCTCCGGAGAGGCGTGGTATACATGTGTCCAGAGAGCCACACGCAGGGCGTGGACAGACGCGCACGCCGCCGGGTGAGACAGTGAAGGTGGGCACAAGTTGCGAAAAAGTGGTTGTAGACAGGGCACGTGATGCGGATGAGTCCATCCAGCTGAGTGTAGCGCGTAACCACGTCGCGGGACGCCGAGTGGTCAGCAGCCTGCAGGTAGTCCGGCTCCGCGCTGATTATGCGGTTTCCCAGGCGGCAGTGGATGTAATTGGAAAAAAAACCACTGCGCTCTGCGCCGCTTCGCAGTGGACCACAGCATGGGCAGCTGGATGGATCTGGCCCATAATCGGCACGAAAGGCTCAACCTGACAACGCTGTACTCGAACTGGTTCGCTTGAGGTGGCTTGCGCCGGCTTCGTTCTCGCTCGCGTGCCCATGTCGGGCCTCTCCGGAGCTGCCCATCTCGCACCATCTTGCATCATCCTCCTCAACTTCCCCTCCTCTTTCCCTCCTACTCTTCTCTCCTCCTCCTCCTCTTCGTCTCTCCTCCCCTTCCTCCTCCTACTCCTTATCCTCCGTCTCCTCCTCCTCTGCATCATCATCATCATCAGCAACATCATCATCATCATCATCATCATCATCATCATCAGCATCATCATCAGCAGCATCATCATCGTCATCATCATCATCATCGCCCATCATCATTACCATCAGCATGATCATCGCCATGACCATCATCATCATCATGCCTCCTCTTCCCTCCTCCTCTTCCTCCTCCTCATCGTACTCTTCCCTGCTCGCCCCGCTTTTCCTCATCCTGCAGCCTCTGTTCTCTTATTGGCCCGCGGGCCGCCCAGCCTGACCTCCGTCCGCCCCCCCGGCCCCGAGCCTGCTGCTGCGGCACCTGCTGCTGATAGTCGACCGCGTACTGCGCGGCAGGCAGGAAGGCAGTGGAAGGCGGAAGCGGCGGGCGACGCAACGTCTCCGCCCAGAGGGCGACCCGCAAGCTGGCGAGCGGCGTCCCAGAGGGCGCGGAGATGTTTATCGGCGGCGAGCCTTGGGGAGAAGTTAAGAAGGGGCGTCCCTTCTCAGAAGGCGCAGAGGGCCTCAGGCCTTCTGAGAAGTTGTCTGCCTTCCCCGAAAAAAAACAGAAAGCTTCACAGACGGCCAGAGGGCTCCTAAGGAGTCCCGCCGCCTTCTGAGGAGGCCTCCTCCTTCTCACCCCCCCTGGCTCGCTGCCGAATCCCACCAATCCTCTGGGCGTAGGCGGTCTAGAACGGTCTCTTCTAACCCAACGAGGTGTTGGAGCGTTCAAGATGGCCGAAGATGGCTCTAGGAGGGCCTCGGAGAGCCCATGATGACCTCCTTCAAGATGGCTCAACCTAGCCCAAAATGGCTCAACATGGCTCCCAAACATGCTCCAACAGGCCCCAAGACCGCTCCAAGACGGCTCCGAGTGGTCACGGAACATCGCCAGGAGGCCGCCAAGAGGCCAACGTCCTTCAAAGACCTACGGAAATCACTGATGGTTGCTTTCTCGCCTTTTCGCTTCCGATGGCCTTCCGAGGCCTCAACACAGCTCCAACGGGCTCCTGAGGGCCCCAACAAAGGCCCACGAGAACCCTAAGACGGCCCCAAGAGTGCCCAAGAGCGCCAAGAGGGCCCCAAGAGGCGATGTGAGGGGGGAACGTACTTGGAGCTCCCATCTCGTTTGATCGATCTCCTCCAAGATGGCCCCAAGAGCGCTCCCAAGGCTCCCAAGAGCGCCTCAAGAGGGCCCAATAAGCGCCCAGGGGGCCCCAAGAGGCGCCCAAGAGGCCTCCAAGAGGCTCCCAACAGACCCCAAGCGGCCACAAGAGGCTCCCCAAGGCACCCAAGGCGCTCCGAGAGGCCCCCGGGGCCGCCATGAGACCACCAAGATGCCCCAAGAGGCCTCCAAAAAGCTTTCAAGAGACATCCGAGGATACTCTGAGAGGCAACTCGCCTGGGCATCGTTTCTGGATGGGCTGGTGGGGATACTTTTTTGTTCGCGAGCATCACGGTCCGACCGCGCGCCGAAAGTAACAAGGCAGCCGTGCCAAGCACTAAATTAACCACAAGCATCAAGGCAGGTGGGGATACTCGAAGCGTCAAGAAGTTAGGGAGGGAGGGTGGGGAGGAAGCATGCAGGGAAAGAGGAGGCGGAGCGGGAGCGCAGTCATGCAGGAAGCGGGACGAAGGGGATGATGATGATCACGATGACGGGACCCATTTCCGCGCCAAAGTATTAGATAAACAACGCTCGAATAGCCAGCCGGCTCTTGGACGTAGCTCGTGCCCGTGCCTTCGAAGATGCGTCTCTGCAATCAGGCCCATGCAGCTCCTGGTAAGGTTGGAGATCATCAAACGCTTGCCAGTATCGCAGACTAGAACTCTGGAGAAATCGCTCACTCAGAATAGTCGGCGGGCATGCGGGGAAACACGCGCGGCAGAGAGGCGAAGCAATGGTGCCGGGCTCGGGCAGAAAGGAAACCATGCGTCACACGCCTGCGTTGTGGCGACTTCCGCGTTAACCGTCCAACCCTGAACGATCGCGGCTTTCCGACTGCGCAGGACTTCCGACGCTGGCCGCTTGCAGGTCACCGTCGGCGTGCAGCCTGGAAGGCCCACGACACGAGGCCCGACGCAGGGAGGGGGAGCCGCTGGCCAAACCACCAAAGTCCCGAAGGCCAAGCCTGGGCACAGATCTCGGGTGACGTGGCCGCCAGGCGCTGGCGGGGATCGGGAGCGGCCAAGAGGGGGGTGTCCAAGGGGGGGGTGCAAATCATGGCCGGCGGCATGTGCGCGGCCCAGCGGGGGGGCCAGGGACGTAATGCAATAAGAAGAGGCGCCATGAATTCTGGGGAAGTATCATGGCCCACGCCATGATATCCACCCCCCCTAGTCACCACCCCCCTCTATTCCGCCCCCGAGGGGAGGGGGGGGACGGTCCACCGAGGCCCGGACCGCGAGCCGGGCCTGCTGAGGCTCTCGGCGGTGCTGGTCGGCCTCCCTCGCCCGGCCGTGGCCGGGGCGAGGCGGAGGGCCCACGCGTGCCCGATGCTCGCGTTGGGAGAGCCCCACCTCGCCTGGGCCGCGACCTGCGCGACCGCCGCAGCCCAGCCTGGTGGGCAGCAGGTCGGGGAGGCCTGCTGGTCTCTGAGCCTCAGGCAGATGAAACCAGGAAGTTATATCCGCCACCGTGCCTGCAGCACGTAGTGGAGAGCCCCAAGGCGCATGCAGCCCTGAAAAGTTCAGAGATGTAGAGTTTCAAAAAAATAAAGGCCCGGGCCACCGGCTTCACAAGGATTTCCAGGGATCTCCTAGGATTTCTAGGGATTCCCTAGGATTTCTGGGGATTCCCTGGGATTTCTGGGGATTCCCCGGGATTTCCGGGGATTCAGCATCCATGACTGCAACGGGCCCTGGAGGAAGGGGGTCCTGGGTCTTCGTCCGCCCCTGGCCATCGCTCGGACGTCCATTCCCTGTTTTTTTTGGTTTCGTGTGTGGCTTTTTCGGCAAATGATCAAGGATGCTCCTCGATTGTTCTCGCCGCAGGAAACATGCACACGTCCGAGCGATGCCAATGCCCATTTGGGCCCCCAAGGCCCTCCACGGGCCTTGGAGCCGTTCACAAAAAGAGACTCAGGAGGAAGAACTGCTCCGAGGGAAGCCCCGGGTTCCAGGATCCGTCTTCCACAGGCTGTGCTTCTGTCGTGGCGTGGTGACGGCGGGGGAAGAGGGGCGGAGGACAAGGCCGAGGAGCTGGATGAGGAGATGAAGTGGACCAGCAGGAGGAGGAGGAGGAGGAGGAGGAGGAGGAGGAGGAGGAGGAGGAGGATGAGAGGGACAAGGATGAGGATGGCGTCGGAGGACATGTGAGACGTGCGGTGGGTACAGCGAGAGGACAGTGCGGAGCAGGCGGCGGGTTCCAGGGGCGCGTAGGGCGGGAGGGCGGGGGGGGGGTCCTGCTGGCCACCCTGGGGCGCCTGCACCACCTGGCCGCTGGCGCGTCTCTGGGCGGCTCAGGGACACAGCACACCCGGCTCCTCCTCCACCTCCTCACCCTCCTCGCCCCCTTCCTCGCCTACCTCGTCCTTTTGCTCCTCCTCGTCCTCCTCGCCCTCCCTCGCCCACCTCCTCGTAGAGAGGCCTCCTCTTCTACGCACTTCATCCCACTCCTCCTCCTCCGTTTCTGCGCGAAACTGGTGGGGACGAAAACTCTGAAAGCCCTGCGTATCATACTTCGGGCGGCCGCTTCGCCAATTCAGTCAACCCGCTCATCGTCACCTTCCTCCCTTGCTGAGGACGTGGGGGAGCACGAGGAGGGGGAGGACGGGCGGGGGCGAGAAGGAGTTCGGAAGCACCACGCATGGCCTTGGAACCTGGTGCGCTCGCGCAGAGATTTTGACGAGGCCGCGTGCGCAACGGAAAGGCTGCATCTCGTTTGCCATGACCCTCTGCAATCACCATCCCTATCACCACCGTCTCCATCACCACCATCACCAACACTGGGGGTCGAAGGGGTGGCGAAGGGGATTGGGGCACGCACGAGGCTGCGACTCCGACCAGACGAATGCGGCTGCGCTGACAGGTAAATCCTCCGCCGTGCCCCCTGGCACGCTGAGGCGTGGTGGAACGCCAAGGGCTGTCTAGCAGCGATCCTATAATCTTCTAAGAAGCAACCGCCCCTCAACCCGTGGGAAAACAAAAAACAACAAAAAACACACACAACTACACAACACAAACACACACAAAGGACACACTGCTTTTTTGTTGTGAGTGTTTTTTGGGGAGAAAAAAGCACACACACACACACAAAACAAACACACACACAGTGTGCGTGTGGGTGTTTCCCACAGTGTGTGTTGTTTGTGTTGGTTTGTGTTTTTTGTGTTTGTTTTGTTCTTTTGTTTTTCGATTCAACGATCACTCGTATGAAATCATTGGGCCAGCGCTCCCGAAGCGACGATCCCTGGCAAACGAGCACGGGCAGCCCGCGCGCTCGAGCTTCCAGAACGGCCGAGGCGGGCCACCCGGATGGCCCCATATGTGCCTCGACGATGCCTCCAACATGGCCCAATACGGCGTCACGACTGCCAGTGGGAAAAAAACACACAACACACACACTGTGGGGAAAACACAAACACACACAAACAAACACATACATACACACACACACACACGCACACACACACACACACACACACACACACACACTGTGGGACAACAAAAACACACGCACAGAAACAAAAAACACAAACAACACACTGTGGGACAAAAACACACACTGATTTTTTTTCCCACAGATGCCATCGAGACGCCCCAAGAAGCCTCTAAGATGGCCCTCTAGGGCTCCAGCCAGATCCCCAAGATGGCCAAGAGACGCCACGACCACATTGATACTTGGCAGGTATGGTTGCACAACCGACGGCTCAAGGAAGCTCCAAACGGGCGCCAATGCGGCCCCAGAGGCCCGAAGAGGGTCCCGAGGCGGCCCCAGAGGTCCCCACAGCAGCCCAAGATCCGACGACCTAAACAATACCAAGACCACCCGAATCTACCCCCATGCGGCCAAAGGGGGCCCCGAGAAGGACCAACCCTGCACCAACAAGGCAGATGCGGGCCCCAAGGCGGCCCGAGAGGGCCTCACGGCTGCCCCACGGGACCCAAGGCGACCCACATGAGCTAGATCCATCGGCGCTCCTCAAGGAGTGAAGCAGACACGCGTGTCACATGTGACGGCCTTCCTCGTCCTCCTATTCCTCCTCTTCCTCCTCCTCCTCCGCCTGCTTCTGTTTGTCATCATCCGCATCACCCTCATCTTCATTGCTCCCGAGCTTGGGGACGCGAAATGCCACACGCGACGGCCTCCCGTGCCCCCTCGAACTATCGCCACCCAGAATGCTGGGCTGGCACGGCGGCGGGACTTGCCGCAGGCATCTGGATTAACCACATGCGCAGTTGTAGTGCAATCGCGGTGCGGGTGTGAGCGGGAGCAAGAACGCGAACGGCAAGCAAGAACGCATGCCACCACGCAACACTTCCAAAACACACTCTTGCCACCAATCGCACGAACGTAAATACGGCACTACCTTCCTATGACGTCCTCCTCAACTGATCGGGCCCAACGAACTTGCCCATCCCAAGGACGGCGGTCTTAAAAGAACCTGGAGTGTTACCTGAACAAGTGGGGTCGGTAATTCATTGTGTCGTCCGTCTTGCTTGTGGTTTCCCGTGTCTGCGTCAATTGCGTTGAACACTCGCGGCCGTGCAAAGGATGGCATCCCAACCGTTGCTTTGGTCGCAGCGCCAGTGGGCTCGGCGAGGTCGGGCTCAAGCGGGCTACGCAACAAGCCTGAAAGGCCTTTAGACCCCCCCAATGAGGTAACTACTTATTTTCTGGCCGCCTCATTGAAGGGCTAGTGTCCAACTTATAGGGGGTAACTATGTTTGTCCTGGGCTATTCGCTCACCCGTAGACGAGCTACCATGACCCTGGAGTTTTCCTCGATCTCGCGAACTGGCGTTCACACACAAGGCAAGAGACGATCAAGCGCGTCATGCAACCGACAATATTGCCAAGCAACACTGGTTACATTCGCTTCCATGTCAGCAATTTCAGGCATTTTTAGCTCTCTTTTCAAAATCCTTGTCATCTTTCCCTCATGGTACTTGTTTGCTATCGGTCTCGAACCAATATTTAGCTTGAGATGGAATTTACCACACAATTTACGCTCTAATTCCGAGGAACGCGACTCTCAGAAAGTATGCCGTGCACGGGGGACTGCAGATGACAAACGGGACTCTCACCCTCGTTGATGCTCCTTTCCAGGAGGCTTACATCTGCGCCTCCGTTGGCGATACATGTCGAGACTATAATTCAAGGCCGAGGGCCCCAATTTCCATGCTGAACTGATCCCTATTGATTCGCCATTACTGAAGGGATCCTATTTAGATTATTATCCTCCGTTTACTTATACGCTTAAATTTAACGGGTTTGCTGACTTACGTAGGGCGCCGGTAAGAGTGCGCTGGGCACTAAATAGCGAGGCCATGCCCAGCGACAAGGCAACAGATAACATCAGAGACACTTGCGTGGGAAGACCCTGTGAGCACCCTCCGCGCAACAACAAAGACGACAGTTACGACTACGAGGAAGAGGAGGATAAGGAGAAGGATGAGAAGGAGGTTCGGGGAGCAGTCCTATTCACCGACGAGAAAAAAGGGGGGACCAAAAATAAATACCCTTAGTGGCGTTTAGCTAGTTGCGCCTGGACCGGTGGATCGAGAAGAGAGGCGGCCGCGGAAGCGGAACGGAGGAGGTAGGCAAACTCAGATGACTTGCGCCTTTGTGATCGGCGCTGGCGACCTCGGGTTCTTGGAGGAGTCGCGCGAAGTGGCTGGGGTTCCCGATGCCAGACGAGGAGCGAAAGGGCAGTCGGAGCCACTGCGCAATTACTGAACCAGTGCGAGCCAAGCAAGATGCACCTGTGCGTTCTTAGGACTACCCACCCCTTCGCCGCAGTTTTTTTCGTCCGAAGGGCAAAGGGCCCGAAACTTGCCCACCGGAGGCCAAACATTGACAAAACCTCAATACCATGTTTGTTTCCATACGTTCTGGGTCTGCTCCTCCTTGTCCTCCTCCACGGCGGAAGACATAAATCGCACCATCGCTGTGGGCGAAGGTGGTCTAACGAATCCTTTTCTCTTCCAAACCCTGTTCCTTCCGGGAAGTTTACATCCCCCCCCCTCCCTAAGGTTTCTCTTTGGGGCCGGGGGTTCTCGCGACGCGTTAGGGCACCCAAACTGGCCCAAGATGGATCCAAGAGGGCCTACGATACAACAAGATGGCCTCCAAGCTAGCTTCAGACATACCTCCAGGAGGCCTGACGAGGGCCACACGACGGTCCCAAGTGCTCCCAGAGTCCCCTCAGGACCCCCCAAGAGGCCAAGTTCCTGCAAACACCGAAGGAAAATCACAGATGTTCGCCTTCTCGCCGTTTCGCTTCCAATGCGCTCTTGCGGTCTCAAGATGGCCCCAAGACGGCCCAAGAGAGGCCCAAGAGGGGCCCAAGATGCCCCCCAGACGGCTCCAATAGCGCCCAAGAGCGGCCCAAGAGCGCCCCAAGAGGGCTGCAAGAGGCGTTTTGGATAGCCTCAGGAATGGCACCAAACGTTACGGCCCCCTCTTATCTCACAGACGCCCTCCACAATAGCCCAAAGAGACCTCTAGGGTTCACGAACAGGCCTCCAAGAGAGCCCCGAGAGGGTCCCCAGAGGGCCCCAACAGGGCTCGAAGAGGGCCCCAATAGAGCCCCAAGAGGACCCCGATATCCCCCCAAAGAATTTCAAGAGGAAACCTTGATGCGATTTTGAGGGCTGTGTCCTCGTCTCCGTTGTCCTCCTCCTCGTCCTCGTCCTTGCACTCATCGTCGTCCTTCTCATGCTTTTTCTCTTCCTCGTCGTCGTGTGGTCGTCGTGTGGTCGTCGTCGTCGTCCTCCTCATCCTCCCGCTTTGTTTCACTACATGTGTCTCTCCGTCCCTGTTCCTATCAACTCTCATGGGCAGGGTTTCCGAATGGGCTGGTGGGGATACTTTTTTGGTCGGCGGCTCCGAGGCAGCGGACAGGGAGCGGAAGGCGTCGTCTGGGCCAGCAGGCGAGGCGAATTAGCTAGAACAGGCAACGCACCTGCAGCAATAATTCGCAAAGAATGCGAGGTGTGCACATGCACTGATCAAAATGCTCTGACGGCTGGTGGGGATATTTGTTTTTACGGCCGCAGGCGGAAGCGCCAGCGGCAGGCGGTCACGGTCGGGCTGCGGCCGCGACAAGCGGAGCGGGCGCGGGCGGGGCCGCGGTCAGGCGGCGGGCGGCAGCGACCCAGGGCGTCTGCCAGCGTGCAATCCAGGGAGTCTGCGGAACAACCCCTGAAAGACATGCAACGGCGAGTCCGGGGCGTCTGACAGCAGGCACCGTGGAGGCCGAACGCAGCCA